GGGTCCGGGCTGGGGATTCGAACCCGCCACCTTAGGTGTACGTGGCTGGCGCCTTAGCCGGTTGAGCTATAGGCGCCGAGCAGTCCCTGTAGTTTTTATTAGGGATGTCAACCTTCCAGCTGTCTTAAGACCATAGGCCTAGATAAGTAAGTGACATCAAACCTGAAGAACATGGCCTCTGCCCAGCCAGATTATCAAAGGCCCACCATGGCACTGCTTTGAGCCTCATCTAGCACCAGGCCCAGCCCCATACCATGCTACTCAAGGCTATGGGATCCCTTTGTTGGCTGGATGGTCACAGACCTGGTTAAATCAAAGTCTTCCTGGGCTCCCCTGGAGCCATGTCTCATTTGTTACCATCTCCAGGCCTCTGTCATGCCAATCCAGCCCTTCAAAGCAAGTTCTCTGGCTTTTCAAGCTCCTACCAAATAATACAAAATCATCCTTTAAAGGCAGTGTAGTGGCTTGGCGCCTTTAGCTTAAGCAGCTAAGGCGCCAGCCCCATACACCAGAGCTGATAGATTTGAATCCAGCCTGGGCCTGCCAAACAATGACAACTACAACCAAAAAAAGCCAGGCTTTGTGGTGGGTGCCTATAGTCCCAGCTACCTGGGAGGCTGAGGTCAGAGAATCACTTAAGCCCAGGAGTTGGAGGTTGCTGTGAGCTGTGATGCTATGGCAACAGCTTAAGGCTCTGTCTTAAAAAAAAAAAAAAAAATTAAATAAATAAATAAAGGCAGTGTAGTGTTGTTCAATTCCTTATCCATACTCCAGGAAGCTCTGAAAACCAAAAGTTCTTGGGAACTCACATATCAAACTTGATATGAGGCCATCTATGTTTCACTGCAGGTATATTAATGAGACTAATCCATGATTTCAGCTGCCAATGGAGACCCTACTGTGCTTTTCCTTATTATAGATTATATGCACATTTCCTGTGTAAGTTTTTTTTTTATCAGACAGTCTTATTGGGGTTCAGTGCCCTATTCCCATGGCATCATAGCTCACAGCAACCTCAAACTCTAGGGCTCAAGTGATCCTCTTGCCCCAGCCTCTCGAGTAGCTGGGACTATAGGTGCCCAGTATGACATATGGCTAATTTTTTTTATTTTTAGTAGAGATGGGAGTCTCACTTTTGCTCAGGCTGGTGTTGAACTCCTGAGCTCCAGCAATCCACCCACCTCAGCCTCCCAGAGTACTACTAGCATTACAGGCGTGAATCACCACAGCTGGCCCTTTGTAAAATTTAAGCGAGTCTGAATTCTAAAACTTAATCTGGAGCCACAATTTAAGCTAAGGGATTGTGGGCTTGCTGGGAAAGCTCTGGTTTAAGTGGAAAGCAAAAGGAATCCAACCTTAAATGTCTACTCTCTCCAGAGACACAAAGCCCCCC